CGTAAATGTGTGGATTATCAACATACCCAATATAGGTAGGTATCTTTATATGTGTTAGACAAATCCGAGTATAAATGTGGCAAAGATCATCAAAAACCGAATTTCGAGAGATACCGTTATATGGGGACTATACCAAAACGTGAACCGATAGATCATTTTCAATACCAACCATCCTATACACAATACAAATTTTTCGGCTAAATTTTGACGCTATACGTCAAATAATGTGGGCTGTATCGTAATTTAAACAAACAGACATACAGACGGACAAATCGACTTAGAGTTTTATGCTGATTATGAATATATATGCATATTTAATGGGGTCTATGACGAACATTTAGTGATGTTACAAATGGAATGAAAAGTTAATATACTTTCCTTTCCAAGGTGTATGATATAATAGCATTAAAGACTAAAATTACGGGCCGGCAACGCGGACAGGGCCAGCTAGTAGATTTATATTTTAGGATATGTCCCATAATAGGGTCTCTCTCTCTCTCAGTCAAATTTCATAAAGTTACCTTGAATATTGTTACCTGTTTTATGATGTTCATGCATTGTTCCAAAATTAGTTCACCCCTTTACATAATCATTGATTTCCATGCCAAATTCCAATGCATTAGCCCAAATCGTTGGCTTAGGTGCGGATAGACCTATCTGTAATATGGCTATATGTTATTAACTTATGTATTGTTATTCCTTCTTTTGTATGGTTGTGTTAATGCGTTTTAAAAACTGTAGATGTAGGTCAGTTACAGTACGGTAAATTCAAACACTCACATGCTTTATAATTCCCACAATACAATTAACTTCAATCTTTTGCACAGTTTTCTAAGAAACCGATAATTTAATGCTAATTGCTTTTACGATCAATAAAAATCGCATAAAAATGAAGAGCGCTAAGAAAAAGGGGGAGTATTTTGTATTAAGGGTTACTGATTTCAAATGTCTCATGGTATAAAACTCATCTCCCGAATACAATTCTGCATTACTAAAGACAGCCAATGGCAACAAATAATTTGCTGTTAAATATTTCAACATTTGAAATCATTATTTGATTAGTTTATATCTAGGCGTCAAAATAGCACAGAGCTGTTTGTTGTCGGCCAACAACTGCTGAGAGTTCCCATCAAAATGTCGTAAAAATGGAATTGTTATGAATTGTGTTAGAGGAAATTAAATAAACATTTCTATTTTGTTTGTGTTATTTGTTTGTCGACTTTTACGACCATTTAGACACCTTATTTAGCTACTCTACTCATTGATGTACATTATTTTGTGGTTGTTAATTTTATGTCTGTTTTAGTACTTGAGGGGCGGTCGGGTCTTTGTGGCCCCCAGGTTTGACGGATTATTTCGATTTTATTTCTTTTTTATGTCTGTTTTATTGCCATAGTTGATGTCTGAAAAATTCATGGTTTCATGCCGACTTGTTTCTCTGGCTGGCGGCTGGCAATAAACTGACTGTTTAAAATGAAGTAAAAAAACAAAAATAAAACGATCGTAAAATCAATTGGTCTTAACGCAACCTCTTGTGTAGAGCAAACAAGTGATTTATTTATAAATACAGGTTTTTGTTTATAACAGCATCTTGGGGTTATTTTCTGGTTTCCAAATGGATTCTCAGTTAACTGTTGAATGTTTCCATTTTATGAATTTTGTTTTTGGAATACAGTTGAATTAGTTGAGGCATCGCTAACAACGAGCTTAATAACAATGTTTTTTTTTTTTTTTCAAAAATAATGCCGGTATTATATCCAGATCGCAAAACTTTATGTATACAGCCAGCACGTTCTGATTACAGAAATATGATACAGATGTGTGGTATACGTAGGTGGAAATCCAGTTATGTCCTAACTTTAATTTTAAATAATCCGAAAATCATAATTGTGATTAAATTGTTATAGGGGCTCTTGCCAACATCTTTGACACAATATATTAATTATGTTCAAGAAATGTTTTGATTTTTCGATATAGATAGACTGAAGACCTGAAGATAGAAGAAAGGTCGCTTTCATATACGTTATTCCATTTGTAATACTTCGAAATATACATTTTAGACCCTACTATATACTTTGTAGGGTCTTGATCAATATAAAATGCTATTCTAATATTGCATTGTCCATCTATCTGTGAAAATTAGTCTAGAAATAAAGTAGGTTGCTAACATTTTACTCAGATGGATTTTACCTTCATAGAACTTTTGATATTGAAAACGGGCCATATTCTGGTATAGCCCCCATATAACTATACCAGAAGATATAAGGTGTTTTGGTTGTTTTTGTCCCAAATTTACCCAAATTTTCTCATAAATTGGCAGTTAGTGTTCCCAGCATGTAGAAAACATATAGGTCCAAGTTTTGCCATAGTCTCCATATAACTGTACCTCCTTTTATTCAGCATTTTCACGTTCCCCCTTTATTCGCTATTATTTCAAATTTAGTATTTGAAGTTCTCAATAGATACTACTTCCTAAGACAGAATATTTTCTTTACAATAATACAATAGCAGTGGACCGATATTCGTAATTTTTTAAAAATTAGTGGCATTTTCAATATAAATTTCTTTACACTTTCCTTCCAAATGGCAGAGGGTATTAAAAGTTCGGTCCGGCTAACTTTAGCTTTTTTATTTGTTGTAATTTCCTTCTACTCAAATGGTGACTAGTATTAGCAACTTGAAAGGAAACTTAAGCTTTATTCATACAAATTGGGTCTAGTTAACAAAATTAGCCAATTCCGAATATAAACAAGTAAAAAAGCTGTAAGTTCGGCCGGGCCGAACTTTTAATACCCTCCACAATTCGGTACAAATTTGGCAATTTCCAAAAAAAAAAAAAAAATAATAATAATAAAATCCGTTAAAAATTCTGTTAAAATCTTAAAAATACCGAATGCCAATACGACGACGTGGACTTGCATAGGCAACTTTTGTCATAAGTTATTATAATATTTAAATGCGAAACTTGAAGAAAAATCTGTTTATAATGTAGCTAAAATCATCAAAATACCGGATATAGGGGGTACCGTTATATGGGGGCTATACGAAGACGTGGACCTGCACAGATAATTTTCTGTCTCAGACTGTGTATGAAATATCCATTACGAACTTCACATGCGAAATTTGAAACAATTCCGGTAAATAATGTAGCTAAAATCATCAAAATACCGGATATAGGGGGTACCGTTATATGGGGGCTATACGAAGACGTGGACCTACATGACCCATTTTCTGTTTTATGCTGCAGTATCTATTACGAACAAGTACCGAATTTGGAACGATTCCGTTAAATAATGTCGCTAAAATCATCAAAATACCGAATATCGGGGGGTACCGTTATATGGGGGCTATATGAAGACGTGGATCTACGTGGCTCATTTTTTCACTTAGAATGTAGTATCCATTACGAATTTCAAATACCAAATTTGAAACGATTCCGGTAAATAATGTCGCTAAAATCATCTAATTACCGAATATCGGGGGGGTACCGTTATATGGGGGCTATACGAAGACGTAGACCTGCACAGATAATTTTCTGTCTTAGACTATAGTATCTATTACGAACTTCAAATGCCAAATTTGAAACAATTCCGGTGAATAATGTAGCTAAAATCATCAAAATACCGAATATCGGGAGCTACCGTTATATGGGGGCTATATGATAACTTGGACCTACATGGCATGTGTGCAAAATTTTAGCCTTCTATCTCAATTTGTTCGAAAGATAGCGTGATTACAACAGACAGACAGACGGCCATGGCTAAATTGTCTTAGAATTTTACGCTGATCAAGAATATATATATTTTGTTGGGTCTGACATGAGTATTTCGAGAAGTTACAAACGGAATGACAAAATTAATATACCCTCCATAGTATGGTGGAGGGTATAAAAACTGCTAATTGTTTATGAGCTGTCTAGAGTATTCTCGATATTATCACAAAAGAAAATAACGACTGGCTTTGTTTTATTTTCATTTGGTGTAACTTTGTCATTTCGTTTGTATCTTCATGATTCATGAGATGCTTATTCTTGATCAGCAATAAATGCTATGCCCGTCCGTCTGCGGATTCTTAAAGGGAATGACCTGATTCAATGAACTTGTACTTTACAATTCGCTAATAATGCACACATATCTTCGATGTCATGCTTAAGTCTTCCATACGATGTTCTTAGCATTATATCATAAAAAGTGATTTCTAAGGTTTTCAGGTTTGTATTTTTGAGAGTTTCCGACATTTAGGTAAATTTCGAATATAGTAGCTAAATTTGCAGGATTCTCTAGTTCTTATGTGATTAGTGAAAAAATACGAATTTAAATATTATTAAAAAAGTGTATTATTTTCTTACTTAGAATTACAAATCTACTATCGGAAATATCGGAAAAATATGGTTAATTTGTGATATGTAATATACAATATTTTACAATTGGATCAAAACTGTCAAATGCAACCAATGCAAAAATATAATATAACAGACGGACGGACGGACAGGGCTTGATCGTCTTTGAAGTTTACGCTGATAAAGAATGTATATACTTTGTTGGGTCTAAAATGATTATTTCGATGAGTTACAAACGGAATGACAAACTTAATATACCCTCCATACTATGTATTGTAGAGGGTATAAAAAAAGAAAATGTAGATCATGTAAACGCTTCAAAATTCAGCATATTTTAGCAGTCCAGTAATATTCGAAAGTTTTTGTATTTAATATCAAATGAATTCGATTTTTTATAAATAAATGTGAAAACAAATTAATATTGATTACGAAGATGTGAGGATAATTTATTTAAATGAAATGTACTTTTTGTCAAAGAGACTCCATCAGCACTATAACAATTAGTGGGCACGTCAAAGTTACTACAAATTAACAATGAAGCAGTTAGTTGCTCAAGAGTATTATTGCTGACGACTAGTGGCACAAAAGCTCTAGTTTACTCAATTTAAAAAACTCCCTTTTAATAAAAACGATTTAACAGTTTGTTTCTTTTTTTTTAAGTATAAAGAAATCCCAATTAGAGTAACTTGAATTGAATTGAACAGTCGAATTTTGAAGATCAGCAAAACCTTAAAGCGTCGACTACTGGCACCCTACTTTCCCTGCCCTTTTGTTTGGAATGTTAAAGGGGCCAAAAATACGCTCTGAATGCTGCACGTAGAGAATTTTTGCAAAACATAGTGTCCGAATACTTATATTCCTATGTAGGTACGTATTACGTCTCAAACTCAAGCAGATTTTCCCTCTTTCTTCAAAAAAAAAAAGAAAAAATAACAACAAAAAATCTTAAAAAATGCTTCGTAACAAAAACATTTCTGCCAAAAAGGTCTCAAACACAAGCCTTGTTCGACGGAAAATTAAAGATTCAAAGGAATTATAACTAAAAAATAACAACTAAAAAACGAGGTCCCTTGAGTGAGTATTATTTTCTACCTACTTAAACCGGTTCTTTTGCAATATGGCCAGTCTTTGGACTACGGTAACAAAAACGGAATCACACGCATGCACGCAAGTTACCTACAGCCACCAATAAACAACATTATTATTAAGTTCATTATTTTCAACCACAACCTCACTTATTAATAACATCATTATTATTAACACCATTATTATTAACATCATTATTATTAACATCATTATTATTAATATCATTATTATTAACATCATTATTAGTTACAACATTGTCATAAGCACCAAAGAGCTAACACCAATATTGTTGACATTATTTCGTCAGCAATAATTCTCCACTTCAACATCACAATAACAACACTAGTAATAAAACTATGACGGAAATAACCCAAAAAGAAATGTTTACTTTTACTGTACCCAATACAAATTTTTAGCTTAAGTATTTTTCTTGATAGCTCTAGATTTTATGTTTCTTTGTTCTTTGTTAACTCTAAGAAAAATCAATAATTGTAAAATCGCTTAAATATAAGAATTTTTTGAATAAAGGATCAGTTGTATTTGGCATCTAAAACAGAATAATTCTTGTTTTCTTATTTTTCGGCGGTACGGAAGTTAACTGGCGCAGTCGTACGGCCATTGTTGGTGCGGTCTTTCTCAAGTGAAAAAATATAATTAAATAAATGTATCCTTAAAACAGAAAAAAAAAACCAAAAAAAAAAAAAAAAAAAAACAGTGACAAGTTAATTGTGGAAAAAACAGTGAACTATCCTTTAAAGGACATAAAAAATTTTTTTTTGAGAAAAATTTGGTGAAGGAAAAAAATATATTAAATTAATTAGGCTTGACGGTATATCAAGTAATCCTTAAGGAGAAAAATCGTGCGCCAACAATCGGAAAAAAAAAGAACCTACGTCCGTACAACCGAGAAAATCAAGTGCCAATACAATATAGTATTTTGTTGAAGGAATATCAACAATTTACTATAAGAAGAGAAGGAATATCTCTTAAATAAAAATATATATATAAATTCATAAATAATATTTTGTTGAAGGAATATCAACAAATATTACCATCCGGAGAGAATGAATATCTTTTTGGTTGGAATAAATATTTAATAAAAATTGTTGAAGGAATATCAACAAATTATATCTTAAATAAAAAATATATATAAATTCATAAATAATATTTTGTTGAAGGAATATCAACAAATATTACCATCCGGAGAGAATGAATATCTTTTTGGTTGGAATAAATATTTAATGAAAATCGTTGAAGGAATATCAACAAATAATACGGTCATAGTGGATCAGATCAGATAAAACAAGAAAAAAACCAACTAACAAAAACAAATAACAATACAGTGAAGATCAAAAAAAAAAAAAGGAAAATCAACTAAAAATAACAATTAAAAAGTTAATAACATATAACAATAACAACAACCGTAACAAAAACGAAAAAAAAAAACTAAAAAAAAAAAAAAAAAAAAAAAAAAAAAAAAAAAAAAAAAAAAACAAAAACAAGCAACAATTAAAACAACAAACAACAACTACAAGTGAAGAACAAGAAATAGTCCTGAAGCAGTCCATATCTACAAGCAACTTATACAGGTCTCATCGGAGGAAAGAAGCAGATAAAAACCTTGGAAATCAACAATGAAATTATTTATTATGATAATACTAGGGTAATTATTTTAAGAAAATTATAATATTTATCACTATTATATTACTTTATAAAATATAAAACAGAAATAAGCAAAGAAATATTTCAATTATAAAGAAAAAGGCTAATCAAAATATCTCAAATCAATAAAAAGGGTAATTATATTAAATGCGAAGACTAAGACCAAGACCATATTCTATTCGATACTTAACTGCAATACCGGAACAACAAGAAATGACTACCGTTAATGACATTAGTGCCCCTCAGGCGCTACAATCTCAACAACCGTCACAATCCTCTCAAGCATACGAAACATTAAAAATTCCAGATGCCGTAAAAGATTTACCAACATTTAATGGAAATCCAAGGCAACTAAATGATTTTTTAGAAAACGTTGAAGAGATTTTAAGAATATTAGCGAATATCGATGGTTCTAACCAAGCAACAGTAGTGCTTAGAGCCATCAGAAACAAAATAGTGGGAGAAGCTAATGAAGTACTTAATTCATCCGGTACTCCGTTAGTTTGGGAGGTAATTAAAGCGAATCTAATACTTAAATATTCGGATAAAAGGAGTGAAACCTCCCTTGTGCGTGAACTCCACAATTTACGACAAAATAATCAGACTGTGCAAGAATTTTATGGTTCAGTTATAGAGCTACAGGCAGCAATAAATAATAATATATCAATTCATGAAACTAACAAACATGTCATAAACTCGAGGCGCGAATTTAACGCTAAAATGTGCTTAGATGCATTCTTAATAGGCCTCCGAGAACCCCTTGGCTCAATGATTAGGTCTATGAGACCCGATTCATTAGATGAAGCATTAACATTCTGCATTCAGGAACAAAATATACAATATTCAAGAAGACTAACTTACAACCAACCATTCTACCAACCAAGGTATAGACAGAATACACGGAATTATGCCCCTGCTCGTAATTACCAACCAAATATGAATAACACACATAGATTTACACACGGACAAATTCACCATTACGCACAAAACAATATAAATAGATTCCAAAACACGGTTAATACTCAGGGAAGAAATCAATATAATCCAATAACTAATGCATTTTCACAAAAGGGACCTCAAGCACCTAATGGAAATACCTTTTCTCACAATGGGTCCGGACAGAGCAAATTCAGCAACTTCAGGCAGCAACAGCTTACGACCAAACCCTTACCACCACCAGAACCAATGGATGTTAGTTCTGGTTATAGTCATTTAAGAAAACCTATGACTACACAAACGAGACAGACATCGTACCTAAACAACGTCAATGTGTCTCAAGCTTACCATAATGATCTAGACGGATATTACCACGGACAAACACATGACAATGACTTAGAACAAAACTACACTTATCATCAAAATGATGATAATGACATGAACGATCTAAAAGACCAACAAAATAATGGTATTAGAACGGAATACGAAAATGTAATAGTTGATAATGAAAATTTTTCATATGAATGCCTACCCACACCAACGGGATACTTAGATATTAACAAACATGGACACACATTACCCTATATTAACATATCCTCCCCATTTGGTAGACCCCTGAAATTTTTAATAGATACTGGAGCATCGTCATCATTCATAAACCCAGAATTTGTAAATGACGAAGAGTGTATGACTTGCAAACCAATTACAATCACAACAATTTTAACTAAACACTCACTGGACAAAAAAATTAAACTACCCTTATTTACGGAATTCAAACAAAAAGGAGATACAGAATTTTTTGTCTTCAAATTTCACAACTATTTCGATGGACTAATAGGATTGGACATATTAGATTTTCTCAAAGCTAAAATAGACCTAGGTAACAAAACTCTAGTAACAAGTCAAGCCATCATACCTATTCATCTCAAACCCAATTTTACTTCTGAGAAATTCATTATTCCAAGCTCTTCCAGAGTTGTTATTAATGTACCGGTAGACACACAAAATGGTAGCTTTTTTCTCCCAAGGACTTTTTTGGGTTCCGACCTCTTTATTTCAGAGGGACTGTATCATTCTAAAAAGTGGTACAGCCTTGTGGAAATAGTTAATACTTCTGGACATGATAAAATTGCATACATTGAACAACCAATAAAGACGACACCATACAACGACCAGAATTACATCGAAGTTAATAACTTCAGTTTAGAACACAACTGTATGAATGATAATCATGACATTTTAGATTCGATAAGGACCGGTCATCTTAATAAAGAGGAAAAACAAGCTTTGCTGAAGGTTTGCAAATGCTTTGAAGATGTGTTTTTCAAGGAGGGAGAACAATTGACATTCTCGAATCAAATCAAACACCAAATAAGGACAACTGACGACAAACCCATTTTTACAAAATCATACAGGTACCCTTACATACACAAAGAGGAAATACGCAAACAAATCGATAAAATGTTGCAACAAGGTGTAATTAGAAGAAGTTTTTCACCATGGAGTGCTCCTATATGGATCGTACCAAAAAAATTAGACTCGAGCAATATACAAAAATGGAGACTTGTTATAGATTATCGCAAATTAAACGAGAAAACTGTTTCTGATAAATATCCCATACCCAACATAACTGACATATTAGATAAATTGGGGAGAAGTCTCTACTTCACAACTTTAGATTTAGCTAGCGGTTTTCACCAGATCGAAATGCACCCAAAAGATATTGGTAAAACAGCATTTTCTGTCGATAGAGGTCACTATGAATTCGTAAGGATGCCTTTTGGATTAAAAAATGCTCCATCCACTTTCCAAAGGGTAATGGACAATGTATTAAATGACTTGATCGGGACAGTCTGCCTTGTATATTTAGATGACATAGTTATATATTCAACTTCCTTAGAGGAGCACATACAACACTTGAAAAAAGTACTCGGTAAATTACGTACAGCCAATCTTAAGATACAACTGGACAAATCAGAATTCCTAAAGAAAGAATGTTCTTTTCTCGGACATGTTATTTCCACTGATGGTATTAAACCCAACCCTGATAAAATTCATGCCATAAAAGCTTTCCCCGTACCAAAAACACAAAAACAAATAAAATCATTTTTAGGACTACTAGGTTATTACAGGAAATTTATTCAAGATTTCTCGAAATTAACGAAACCCCTCACAGAATGTCT